AAAACTCTAGAGGAGAGTCAGTCCCTGTGCGGCTGGGAGACCGAGAGCTGCATCAGCGGAGGGACGATCCCTCTGTCCGCCTTCTGGGCTGGAGCCGGAGTCACAGGCCCGCCAAGCGTCGCCAACGATGACAACATGTCCATGCTCAGCGGCAGATCATCCGTCATATCTTCAGTTTCGCAGGCTCGCAGCACGAGATCTGCTCAATCTGCTTTTCAAGTTAATCCCATGCCACCAGTTCCTCCCATGGTCCCAGTTCCTACAGTCCAAGGCCCTGGAGGAGAACCGATGGTCAATCTGTCCAGCATCCAAAACTGGATCGCTAACGTCGTCTCTGAAACCATCAAACAGAAGCAAAGCGAGATGAGTCTCCCTCCTCCTTCACGAGCCGGATCAGAGCTGAGCTTTGGAGGTGCAGGAAGTCTGATTTCGGGCCGTGGCGTGGATGACGACAAAGTGTCCTTGTTGAGCGGTGCTTCCTACTCCAGCGCTCTGTCACAGGGGCGAGGCAGAGCGGCGTCCGTCCTCTCAGGTGGCGGGTCCAGCAACATCTCTGGTCTCAGTGGAAGAGGCTCCGCTCTAGGATCCACACTGGGTTCCAGTCTGGGTTCCAAGAAGAACAAAATCACCACCACCAGCGTCCCTCTGTTCAGCCTCTTCCAAGACCAGGTGGACATGGGCAAACTGGACGCCATGGACAAGGAGATAAAGTCCGAGATGAGGGGCAAGATGGCGACCTACGAGAAGAAGAAGATCCTGGAGGATAACAAGCGCAGCACCCTGTACAAGAAAAAGAAACCAAAGGAGGACGAAGACGAGGTGGAGGAGAGGAAGAAGAGAGAGGAGGAGTTTCTGGAAGAGACGAAGAAAAAGGAGAAACCTGCGAGGAGCTACGGCCTCTCCGGGTGCCTGAATCTGAAACCAGCGCTGGAGAAAGATAAGGACACGAGCATCGACGACTGGCTGAAGAGCGTCAGACCTCCTCCAAAGACGCTGGCCTCTGGATCAGGAGCTGGTCCGTCAGAGGATCCATACGACGATCTGGACGCCTCCGCCTCTGAATTTGACTTCTCGAGCCGCAGAGCCTCGTATGCCGTCGATGAAGAAGACGAGGAGACTCACAGAATCGCCTCCAGATACAGATCAAGGTTACATGAGGATCTATCGAACGAGGGCACAGAATATTCCTGCAACGGGATCACGCAGTCCCACAGCTACAGCCGGGCGGGGAGGTCGCGCGGCGCCTACGATGAGACCGACGAGGGTACAGAGAGCTACGGCGACCTCTCCACGAAGAGGACATTTGCTCATCACTCGCGATATGAAAGCAGTGAGACAGAAGGGAGGAGGAGCAGGAGGGAGGAGGCTGACAACGACGAGGAGGATGACATTGCTACTTTCATCGCCCAAACCAGACAGAGGGTCAGAGCGCGGGCCGCTGCCGAGGCCGAAGACGACGAGGTGCTCGCTGCCTGGAGGGCGCAGCAAGAGGCCAAAGCACAAAGTAGAAGCGAATCATAGGTCATAAGGTCAACATTTTTAATTATTTGAGAATCACTTTGCAAAACACATCGAATCTCCTGGAAACAACGTCGCTGTGGTGGACGATGGACTTGTTTTTAAAGACGGTGGTTTCTGTTTTTGGAAAAGAGCGAGTTTTATTTGCAGTGAGAAGAAGAAGAAGCACTTTGCCTTTTCATCATGAATCCGAATATTACAAAGAGCTAAATTACAACGACTTATTCAAATGTTGTTTATTCATATATTCATATTTTTGTTGGACTGATGAATGAAAAGCGATTGTGAATAACTTTAGTGAATATTTTCAGTTGTCTCTAGGAAAGCTGATCACATCCCGCTGTGCTGTAACTTTATTTCATTATTGCCACTATGACACAGATTAAACCACTCCGCAGGTTTTTTATCAAACAGAGGATTTACAAAGACTGTCATCATTGGGTTATCTCTTACAATATGAAAACATGAGGCTGGGCGATGGTGCATGGGTTAGGTTCGTGGTTCAAATCCCCGCCGGAAAGTGTGGGGTTTGCATGTTCTCCCTGTGCATGTGTGGGTTCTCTCCGGCTTCCTCCCACAGTCCAAAGACATGCTCGTTAGGTTCACTGCTGACTCTAAATTACCCGTAGGTGTGAATGTGAGTGTGTCTGGTTGTCTGTCTCTATATGTCAGCTCTGTGATTGACAGGTGACCAGTCCAGGGTGTAACCCCGCCTCTCGCCCAATGACAGCTGGGATCAGCTCCAGACTGGATGCATGGGTTGAGTATGAAAATAGTCCCACAAAAAAGTATTTAATATTTTTTATAGCAGAGGAAAATCTCTTTTTCATCTTGTAGAAAATTCACATGGATGAAAAAGACAATAAATATTCATAGATTTGTCTTTTTTTTGTCTTTTATTTTCATGTTTTTTAGGAGGAAGTGTTTGTCAATTCACGCAACACTGAAACAAATGCAAGTAGCTGTTATTTTGAGGCTATACTGCAATCTAGTGGACACTGTGAGTAGTAGCAGCTTGAAGTGTTTAGTAAAGGGTCAGGGTTTGTTTCAGACAAATAATGAATGACTAACCGCTGCAGAAACAGAACTTAAACATCATGTCAGAATCCAAAACATGCAGAACTCGTTTTGTAAACTTGTTTAATCTCCCTCAGTTTGCCTTCTAAACTGAGAAGACTGTAGCTGTGTCGTATACAATGATGACGTGAAACGTGACATAATACGGACACATGTGAGACTTAAACTCCCATTACAGCTTATCATAAAGCTTCACATACCCAACATGGATAAAAGCTCATGGGAATGTTGATCTTACATCTACACACGGCCAGAGAAAAAGGTTTACAGTAAAGTCATAATCCCCTTTTAATTAAAAGAGGTTTTTACTTAAACAAAAATAATCTGTGTGCAGAACCTGTCTTTGAAATGATTACAGATTCTAAAATAAGAAGGAAAAACACTTTCCGACGTCACCTCGATGCCTTAAAGGGGTCACTTTCTGCATGTGCTCGGTTTTTAAGTTGTAAAACTTACATAAATTGTTCCTTTGTTTGAAGAGAACGATGCAAACTTTTATAGTTTTTGCAGAAATGTCACTTTTCAGCATCGTTTTCGTTATGCAAAATTGGTACATTTGATGCTCGAACATGCAGAAGAAGTACTCAAGAGTGTGGAAATAAATCTTAATAAGGTAAAAGAACAAGAGGATTAACATCAAAATATGCTTAAAGTCTCAAAAGGAAAGACATTGTTATGCAGAAAGGTCCACTTCAGAATAATAGTGCAGTAAGTGATGCATAAATTAACTTTATTTATTGCTCATTGGGAAATCTGCAGAGTAAGCAAACACAACAAGGAGGTGAAGGAAGTGCATGGACTCAAAGTTTAAAAGAAGTATGAATACCTCAAGATTGTGCCCACTCAGAGACTTTAAAGTTTATTATGGTGATAATATTTATTTATTTTTGTCATTGTGATGTCCTTTAATTTCATATCTGGAGTTTTTTTTCCATCACTTAAAGTATAAAAGTACTCTTGATGTTCATTTAAATTCATATAAGAAGACTGCGTGTCATGGAAAATGAGAAAAAAAGCTGAAAGATTAAAGTATTACCCGAGACTGTAAATGTGGCCCCCAGGTCTCGGACTGTGGACTGAGAAATTAGTGTTGCTGCCTTTCTGCCAATCAGCATTAATTTTAAATCCCACAGAGTCTGAATGCTTTCATAACTTGGACGAGCGGTTTGAACCTTTCGTCGCTTTGAGCTGCAGGTTTTCTTTCATCATGGCGAGCTGGTGGAGCTCCGAGGGTGTGGACCTGGAGGAGGACTCGATCATGTCGCGGGTGATCCAGGCAGTCGGCCTGTTTGGGGATATTCTGACGTTAGAGGACACTATGGAGCCTTTTCTGTCTGACATCGAGAGAGGGGACGAGGCCGAAGAGAAAGGAACAGGTGGAAGGGAAGAAGAAGAAATGTCAAAGGACAAGGAAGAGCAGGAGGTTCAAAATGATCACAGTAAAGATGACGGCGGAAAGGAGAGTGAAGAAGAAAATTTGCAGAGGGGAGAAAACCTGAAAGAAGTGGAAAAAGAAAGCAAACATGATGGAAATATTAAAAAGGAGGAAGAAAAGCAGGAAAAGGAAAAAGAAGAGAAGGAGAACCAGACAAAAAAGTTGTTGCTGAAGGACACTGAGGGAGAGAAGGAAAGAAATATGGTGAAAGAGGAACCAGACAGAAGTGTGGAGACAGATTCAAAGACTGAAAAACAGGAGGAGGAAGAAGTCTGTGAACTAGAAAAGGAGGAAGAAACCAAGGTTGAGGAAAAGGTTGAGATGCAAGAGCAGGTGCAAGAAAATGAGGAGGAGGCAACCATAGATGAAGGACAGGATGGGGTGCAGATTTCAAGAGAAAGGATGGAGGAGGAAGAAGGCGTGGGTAGGATAAAAGAGAAAGAACCAGAGAGGGAGGAAGAAAGACAGGATGAACAGGAGGAGGAGGATTGGGAGCAAATCAAAGGAAAAGACGTTTTGGAAACGGAGATGAGAAAAGAAGCAGCAAGGAAAGAAAATGAGAAAAAAGATGAGAAGAACAAAGTGGAGGAGTATGAGGTGGGAGCAGAAGATGAAGAGAAAGAGCCAAAGAATCAGGAGGAAGGGGAGGCGATTAAGAATGGAAGAGAAGATGAAAATGTAGAGAAAGAGAAGAGCCGTGATGAAGAAGAAGTTGAGGAAAGAGGGGAGACAGAGGAAGAAGTCGATGAAGACAGGAAAGAAAAGAGAGGGGAAACAGAGGAAGAGAAAGATGAACAAGAACAAGAACAGGTGGATGAAAAAGGAAACAAGGAGTTGGCGGAAGTAAAACAAGAACAACAGGTTGTTGGAAAAGAAGCAGAGGTTGACAAAACAGCGGTAAGAAAGGTGGAGAGAGAAGAGCAAGAACGTAGGATTGATGTGAAAGAGGAAAAGATGGAGGAAAGGTTGAGATGGTGGTGAAGAAAGAGAGGGAGGAGGAAGAACAACAGAAGGATGGAGAAGAAGAAAAGATGGAGGTGGAGGAAAAGGTTGTAATGATGGTTGAGGAGGAAAAGATGGAGGGGGAAGAAGAAAAGGAGGTGGAGAGAGAACATAAAGAAGAAGAGATAGATGGAGAAGAGGAGCAAGAGCCTGTCGCTGTAAGAGAAGTAGAAATGCAGGTTTTGGTAAACAGAGAAGAAAATGCAGAAGAAGAAGAAGCACATGATGAGACAGAATCCCAGAAATCCTCCCCTCCATCACCTCCCCAGACCTCTGCCGACACTCTGAGGGCTGATGGAGCAGAAACAGGAGGTGGAGCTCACAGAGACGACTCAGACGCTGCCAAAAACCACAACGGGGACGTTTCCCCCGCCTCGGTGAGCGGGGACAAAGAGGAGCAGGGAGCTCCAACACAAACTGTTTCTCCAACAGACATCATCGTGCCTCCTCTCCACGCCACTCTGAACCTGAGATACCTCACAGACGAAGAGATCCAGAGTCTGGAGGAGCGATTCTTAACGCTGTCAGTGACATCACTTCCTGCTCCAGGTGATCTTGTTGAAGTGGCAGAGGAAGCAGGGGACGAGGACACCTGGGAGATCATACCTGATCTACACACAGGTAACCACCATCAACACTCTCTGCTAAATCAAACGCCAATGCTTAAAAAAACGACACCAGTTTAATGAGAATCCATCAAACATTGAGCCAGAAACTCCTGCACACAAACACATTGGCAACTGTATTTGTGCAATTCAGACAGTAAGCAGGAGTTTACTTGTGGTTTCTGATAACTGGAAACAATAAATTATCCAATATTTGGTTGCCCTGGTATTGAAACATGTATTAATTTAGACAAACCTAAATAGTATATCTAAAATTCTGGTATTTTGACTACCTTACTCTCCTGCCTCAGCTGTTTTTATGTAGGTTTTTTTTAAGTTGCATTAATATAAGACTACAAAAACACTGGAGATGATGCTTAAAGGTCACTTCACCATGTTTCTCTAACACTAACACAGGTCCCTAGTCTGTCTACAAATCCCCCAATGCTGAGAAAAGTCCATCCTCTCTGTCTTTTGCCTGCTCCACTTTTCAGAAAATGTGTGCTTAAACAGGCCGTTTGGAGATTTTCCCTTCATGACATCACAAAGGGCAGTAGCCCCTCCCCCAGGTGGGTGACACTCCCACAGCTAGGTGTTTGTTCTGCCCTCTGAGTCTGCCTTCTCACCGTAAACAATAGGACATGGAGCGAGAAAGCCCGAGACATCCAAGCCCTTCCAGAGAGGGGGCGTGGTCAGACACAGCTCATTTACATATTTAAAGATACAGACACGTACGTTAACATCCACTAAAGACATTTAAATCCATGACAGGATGCACATGTCAGATATCTGCCTTCCTGCTTTGGCTTCTTGTTGTTCAAAAACCTAAACTTTTTGTTGTTGTACGTGTTCTGACTTTGTTCTGTTTTACAGTGTAGAGAGGATCTTACATAACTGCAGCTTTGATTGGCTGCAGCACAATTACTCTCAGTTCAAATTCAGGCCGCAGTGAATTCGTCCATCAAAAATCCAATTAAAATTCCTCAAAGATAAAACCCCCTGAAATACCAAAAGCAAATGATAATTAAAAACACTCCCCAGAGCTAATAAAACAGAAAAAGTATTCTAATTAAAGAGAACAGTCACATTAAATATTTTCACATCCAGATCTGCAGGCCTTGGATTACAGCTGGAAGATGTCGATGGAAGCAGGAGGACCAGAAAGCAATGAGCTCAGTCCAGCTCCAAACTCTTCCAGCCCAGGAGACACTGTGATGGAAGTGAAGGAGGAAAACGGAGACAAAGATGAAGGAGGTAAAAACTCGAAGCAGAACTCAGGGGCGGATGCAGCGGACGAAAAGAAGAACGGTCAGCCGTCAAAGTACAAAACTGTCTCCTACAGGAGGATCCGTAGAGGAAACACCCGACAGAGGATCGATGAGTTTGAGGCCAGGATGGACTCGTGATCAGACACTTTAAATATTCTCGTCATATTGTGTTCAGTTGATCCGGTAGCTGTTTGTAATCCTTTTGTAGCAGATGATTATCCTTAGTAGTTAAATATATAGAAAATTAGAGGATCCAGTATAAAGCCTTGTGGTACACCATATGCAATGCCTATATTGAGTTATAAAAACATTACTGTCCGAAGCCAGGGGTTTTTTGTTGTTAAGGTATCCTTGATCTTTAAATCACCTCTATCTTGATAGCTGGACCTTGTTCATATTTTTGTGGGGCCATTTTTCAGAGGCAAACACATCTTTTTAGTAAATTAAATATATATGAAATAAAGTGCTATGTTTTTGTAGTTAATGTAAATGTCATGCTCTTAAAATCACTTGTGTTATATTTTTCAATGAATTTGAATATATTAAACATGCTAACAGAACATTATTATTCTATTGTGTATATTATTTTTAGAGGAGCTTTTACTAGCTTACTTTGCTCTTATTTATAATTTTATAATCTTGTATTATATTCTTCATATACTGTTGAAATACATTTGTAATATTCTATTTAATTTATGACAGTAATTTATATAATCATATAATATTGTTGAAAATATTTTAATAACAACTTTCCAAATGTGAAGTCAGACATTATTTCAAGAAAAGAAATTTAACCATAACACACGACCACAGACTGTAAATATACATACAACTTACAATAAGAGTATTTAATTATTATCAAATACGGGGCAAAGTTATCAGAAACAACATATACAACATTTTAGTAAATCAAAGTAAATCTAAGTAAGTCATTTTTTAATGTACATCTTTGTTTATAACCTCCTTAAAACGGACATGTACTTTTATGGGAAAAAAAGGTACTACATATCCCATAATCCTTTTCTCCTGTCACTGACGTCACACAGAGCCCGGACCCGGCGTACCCCTGCCAGAAGCGGTGTGCGTTTGGCAACAAAAGACTCGTTTTTAAACAGTTAAAGAAAATCTGTCGACGACATTCTTTTGGGGGACTTTATCAAAGGTAGGTTTACCGACGACATGGCACCAGGAAATGTAGATTTTATTCAAAGTTTGCGCCTCAAAACGGCTCAACTTTGTAATGTTGAAGTTGACTAGCGAGCTAGGTTGCTAACAAGATGGCGTCTTCTATTTACTGCGAAACAATAACAAAGAATGACTCACGACATTTATTTTAAAGAAACAGGTGTTTTTTTTGTGTTATAATAGTGACACTGCCTTTGAAAACTGCCTATGTTTGTTTTTAATTCGTTGAGTTTATAAAATGTTTTAGTTGAAGTGTTGTTGTTGTTGTTGCTAAGGGATGACACTGCCGCCGTTAGTGTCCGTTGGAGGAAGAGGAAGAGGAAGGAGGTGATGATGATGACATGCTGTTAGCTGCCTGGCTGGCTGGCTGACGGACAGTCGGATACGAGCCCGCTGAGTGTGCGGTGTCACCCCACAACCAGAGCAGGATCTGGGACCAGGAGAGGCGAAGATGCCGCGTAGAAAACAATCCAACCCCCAGCCGGTGAAATGTGAGTTTGCATGCTCTCCTACAGCTGATTTTGCCTCTATAATGTGTCAGTATTTCACTTTATTACCCTTCAATTATTGTCAAAGTTGGAGTAAGTTGCTGTGCCTTCTTAACCCGTGTTAAATCCACTTTTAATATAAAAGTTTTCTTAAAGTTAAGCCGAGGAAACATCCACATCAAACGTTGCCTAACTGGTCGAACATATTTGCATTACAAGGCTAGGTCCCTTCCTCATTGTCTGTCAGAGAGGAAGACTGCTGGAGATGTGTTTGTGTGTGTTATCTCATCCTGAATGTTCTGGCTCAGTTGGACTCTCCACGTCCTCTCTTCCTCTCCCCCCCTGCTTCCTCCTCACCGCCCCCAGTACCTGACCTCCCTCTGCCGCTCCCTCCTCTTCCTCCCGTCAGTCTTCCTCTCTTCCTCTCCCCCCCTGCTTCCTCCTCACCGCCCCCAGTACCTGACCTCCCTCTGCCGCTCCCTCCTCTTCCTCCCGTCAGTCTTCCTCTCTTCCTCTCCCCCCCTGCTTCCTCCTCACCGCCCCCAGTACCTGACCTCCCTCTGCCGCTCCCTCCTCTTCCTCCCGTCAGTCTTCCTCTCTTTCTTTCACTGCTTCCTGTTTGACTTCACTCTCTTTCCCTCTTTTTTTAAGATTTATTTGGGGCTTTTTGTGCCTTTTTAATGGAAAGATAGGACAATGCATAGAGTCGGAAACCAGGGAGAGAGAGTGGGGAACGACATGCGGGAAGGAGGCCACAGGTAGTTTATAAAGGTGCACTATTTCTCAAAACTCAAATGTCTGTGCTGAGGCTGCCTCTCATGGTGTTTCCCCTGACAGTTTTTTCCGCAAGCTACTTATTTGTTATTGAGTGCATCAAAAAGACATTAGACATCTTTTAAATTAACTAAGTAATCCCCTGATTAATTGGCTTGTAGTCATCATCACTTGCAGCCCTATTTCAGTTGACCTATTGCTTATTCTTATTCTTGATTAGTTGTTGCTTTGAGTTGCTTTTGTAGGACCAACAATCCAAAAATCTAAACATTTTAGTGTACTTAATAAAGTCTTTGTGTTGGAAAAGAGCAGCAGGACACGGGAGAAAAAGTCAAAACCATGTCCTCATCAACTCTTTCTCTCCTCTTCCTGTTCCTGACGCTCTCAGCCTCATTCCTCTCCATGACTCTTCCTCCCTTCACTTATCTCATCCCCACTGACTTCCTTTGCTTGTTTCCTTTCCTCCCTCCCTTCCTACAAGCCAACTTTTTTCCCCTTGTTCATCTTTTCCTTTTACTGAACACAGTTATCTCTCCGCCTTCTCCGTCTTCTAAACTTGTTTAGAAACCCCGGCACATATTTTTCCAGGTACATAGGAAACACAGCTCCTGTCACTTTCTTTATCAACGATAATTTAAATGCAAGTTGCTTTTACTTGTGACTAAAAAGATAAAGTTAAATTACTAAATGCTAAATAAAGCATTTGTGGGATTTTGTAACAATCCTCTTAAAGCATAGCGGTCTCTCTCATGGAGAAATCAAAACTTCTTTTTCCTTTTAAGGAAATGAAAGTGTGACGTGTGAAGCAGTTGCATGTGTCTCCAAAAGTTTACAAAAAAAGGAAACGACACGTTCAGTGTTTGTTTGAGTAAAGTTATCTTTTCAATGCAGCGCGTTCCCAGCCGTCTGAGGAAGCGGGCAGAAACAAGAAAACACAAAAATCTAATCCTGCAAGACTACAAACAAACAGTAAACTGAAATATGTAAATGAAAAGGATGAATAAAATCAAGGGATTTACAATAATAATATTATAAATAGTTGGGCGAAATACTTTAAATTAAGGCCACAGATGACGTGCTGCCTTTCATAAAAGCAAAGGCTGTTGCTTTTTTTTCTTTAAGTATAAATGCTTATTTGTGTGTGTGCGTATTTGTGTGTGTTCAGTGGATTCAGAGGACGGGGCGTTGGTGTGTGACCCCAGCTGTCTGGTCCTGGAGAGCGACTTCCTGCTGAGCGGAGAGCTGGAGTTTGGAGACTCTGAGATCATGGGGCTGGAGAGAGAGACGGGTCAGTAACACGCAAGCACGCACACACACACACACGCACACACACACACACACACACGTTGAACATTAGGCAGGGGATAAACAGATACAAAACCTTTAATCTGATAAAAGTTTCCCTTGTTTTCTCTGTTCTTCAGGTATGACAGTGTTTTCTCTGGGCGTCGAGGATGACCCCTCAGCACCCACAGACTCCGCCTTCCCCCCTTTCCTTTCCTGTAAAGGTTGTGGTCAGCTCCTGGAAGACACGCCTCTGGGTGCAGGTTTAGATCTCGGTAAATGTTGTGAACATAAAGAAAAACATAGAGGGTGGAGTTTTGTTCTCTGTGACCTTTTCTAGGTTTCCATGCAGTTCATAGTTTTATTCCTGCTCTGTTGTCTTCTGTTTTTATATAAAGTTTGGTTTATTTCATTGCAGGTGTGGGCCTTGACCTGGGGGCGGAGCTTTATTGTCTGACCTGTGAGGAAGGCCTCCAGCATGAAGCCCTGATGGACTCCTCTCAGGTGGAGGGCTTAAACCTGGCGGACAGCGAGGCCTCCGACAGGAAGAGAAGCGTAGGTGAGACAGGTGAAGATGGTGATGTCACTCCTAAACTGTTCTCGTGCTCGCTGTGCGCCTTCACCTCCCGCTACTCCAACCATCTGAAGCGCCACATGAGGACACATGACGGCCAGAAGCCGTACCGTTGCCTCGTCTGCCCCTACGCCTCGGCCCAGCTCGTCAACCTGCAGCGCCACGCCCGCACACACACCGGGGAGAAACCGTACGGCTGTCACCAGTGCAGCTACGCCTGCAGCTCCTTGGGAAACCTGCGCAGACACCAACGCATGCACACGCAGGAGAGACCGCAGAGGAGGGAGAAGGAGAAGAGGCGAGGGAGGCGAAAAAAGAAGAACTCTGAAACAGAAGATGGTAAGACACAAACACACGCACAGCTATTGTTTATAAGGAGCGAGCATTCACTGCAGGATGTAAGCTTAAAAACATTTTCAAAAAGGAAAACGGGGTAACTTGAAGTCAAGAAAATGATCTGCGAATAAAAGATTAAAAATTGTACAAACATCTACTGTCACAGGTTTCTTAAACCCGTACAAAATGCTTCCAGTAACGGTATGGTCAAATTCTAAATGTGTCACAAAGACACAAATTGTTCACCATTTCAAAGGTGTCAGAAAGAAGAAGGATAACAACAAGATCCACAAAATAATGGATGCAGAAGTATAAATAAAACTATCCCTGGTACAGAATGAAAACATGTTTGATCTGGAGTCTTTTGTTCTGCATGAAGTGAGCGCTGAAGGGGAAAATGTTATATTTAGATGCACTGAGCAGAAAGAGGAACAAACAAGTCGAAACTGAAAAACTTAGAAAAAATGAGGAAGAGAAATTCTCTCTGGTTGGGTGCTGACGGGTCGGAGATAACTTCTGGTAAATTCAGCTTCATCAGAAGGATTTTTTAAAATATAAAATATTTACAGTTTAGAGGAATGCTTTTTAATATAACCGTGGAATAACGGTAACATTTATTTACAAGGTGTCAGTCGGGACGTGAACCACAGAGAATGAGGGATTTTGTTATAAAGGAGGAGGAGTATAGATCGAAGTGAACGAGGAAGTTTGAAATGAAGGACTAAATTCTTAGTAAAAGTGTTGTATTTCTATGACTCATCAATTGATTAAAAGATGTGCATATTTTAGTGTTTATTTTTCTCTGTTTCCTTCATGCAGTGGTTTCAGACCTGACCCTGAGAGTGTCCCAGGACGCAGGATTCCTCCAGACGTTGGGCGGCCTCGGCTCCCCCTCCGCCCCGCTCCCCGTCCTCCTCTTCCCCCTGTGCTGTCGGCTGTGTGGCCTCACCCTGGAGGAGGCCGACCTGGAGGGGGACAAGGCCGAGGGAGAGGGGGAGGGCGATGGGGGACAGGTATGTCTAAGTAAACCCGAGTCCTCTCAGATCTTTTGTTTCAAGCAGCTGGAGAGTCACATTTTGATTTTGTCTTTCTCAGGTGTGTCGTCGCTGCTCATTGGACCTGCTGTCTAAAGAGGGATCAGAGCCCCCCTGCAGCCCATCGATGCCTCGGGGGTCAAGACGAGGTCAGCGTGGCTCAAAGCTGTACCGCTGCCCTCTCTGCCCCTTCCTGTCCCACTACCCCAATCACCTGGCCCGCCACGCGCACATCCACTCCGAGGAGAAGCCCCACCGCTGCCCGCACTGCCCCTACACGTCCTCTCACCTCGACAACCTCAAACGTCACCTGCGTGTGCACACGGGCGAGAAGCCCTACCAGTGCCCGTCCTGCAGCTACGCCTGCGGGAACCTCGCTAACCTGCGGCGACACGAGCGCATCCACTCGGGCGCCAAGCCGTTCCACTGCGGCGTCTGCGGCTACTCCTGCAACCAGAGCATGAACCTGAAGAGGCACATGCTGCGGCACACGGGGGAGAAGCCATACGCCTGCGCCGAGTGCGACTACACCACGGGCCACTGGGACAACTACAAACGCCACCAGAGGAAACACGGACACAACACGGATAGCTGGGACAAACACGCACCTATCAACGGCCTCAGCTGGGACACAGACACTCAGGAGAGCAGGGAGCAGGAGCACAGCTAGATAGATTGTGTGTGTGAGGGTGTGTGTGTGTGAGTGTGTTGTATACACTGGTGAACCTTCAGCTCAGGTTGGAGATAAACTCAGGTGCCTTCGACAGACTGAACGACTGTAACTGCACTGACTTCATGGACGAGCATTAATAACTTTTTCTCTGGTTGATGCTCTCCACTGACTGAACCTGATCGTTGAAATGTTTATTTTTCTTCTTCAGATAATCTATTTTTTGTAGCTGTGTGTGGATTTATTTCACAACAGCAGGCTGGATCGTGGTCTTTAGGTTGATTTAATGATGAAAACTCATGAAGTTTAAGTTTAAGGACCTTTACTTTAGGAAAGAAGGCTGCTAAAATATTAATCTTTTTTCTTTTTGTGATATTCAGATCAAGTAATAGTTTGTTTCAACTTGAAGAGTCTTAATCTGCCTCTTTACCTCTCAGACTTCAATAATTCAGGGAAGAATAGATGGTCACAGAAAGACTTTTTCCACCCGACATTAAGAAACCTGGTGATTCATGTGGTATTTATTTAGTTTAGTTTGCTTTAAAAGTTCAGCAGGAATGAAATCTTGTTTTTAAATGTAGTATGAGATGAAGCAGATGTGGATTAAATCCTGCTCTGCCTCAGTGAAAGTCAAAGTCTATACTGTGAATTTCTGTGTTGTAGAAACATGAGGGAATAAACAAAGCTGGCTGCTGAAGATGTGAATGTGTAAAAGCTTCGGTTAGTGTGGGAGTCAAGACCACACTCACCGAGACCGGGTCAATGAATATCAATGAAAAATCATCATCTTGTGTCTAAGGGGTGTGTCACTAATTTAGACTGTAACACCCGGAAGGTTGCGGTCATAACTGACAGTAATGACGTGAGAAAAGAGCCTATCAGTGGTGGTGGTCTTGACTGGTCTTGATTTAAAGTCTGAAGTCCTCCCTGTCCGAGAAAATACTGAATAGAAAAGCTTGCTGTTCCAAGATGAGACCGAGACTTTGAAAAAGTTGTCTCTAGACCGAGACCGATCTCGAGTACTACAACACTAGCCACAGCTACTCGCAGATGTGGCCTTTATGTTTTTATAAATTATGGTTTGTGTTCAACAAGCAATAACTCTGAAAATGTTGAAAACTTTTTGATGCAATTCAGCTGGAACTAAACCGATCCAACACCAAATTGTTAATTCAAGCAAGTCTTGAATTCTGCCCCACAATTAAGAAGTTTAAAGGTTTAAATTAGCCTAACTTAGCATTAAGACTGGAATTGGGGGGCAGCTAGTCTGGCTCTGTCCAAAAACACCCAAAGGCTCCACATAATCCTTCTAGTGTGTGTGATTGTGTTTTTATTGTTGGACGTGCACACAGAGAAACTAAACAAGTGAAAAGGTGGCATCGCCGTTGTGAAGCTGCCAGGTTTGTGGTCCGCAGTGCCTTCATATCTACAATAAAAGAAGTCTGACGAAAGTGAAGCTGCTTCCTCTTTCATGCTCTCTCTTTTAGGAAACACCTGCTGCACACGCCTCGAGGCAGAGACGCAAGGACACTGATGGACGCCACGGTGCTGCTCACTGAAACATGTCATGGTCAAAATCTGGAGAAAAGTCGACCCCAAAAAAAGAGAAAAACACCTGAAGTGAAGCTAAGACGCACAACAAAAAACATTATAACATCAGAAATCAGTCATTAGAGTTTGATAGTGACGATGGCGAGATGGAGGGAGTGAGATCAGTGGACTGTAACAGTGACAGACAAGGCAGCAGTGCCAACTATATGTAAAGCAGTGTGGGTTTCTGTGTGTGTGTGTTTGTTTTACATTTCATTTCAGAGGCAGCTGAGGAGAGCATCAGTACACACCTAAACTCATGGGCCTGGTGAGTAAAAGGAAAAGTTTGATGTTACTTCAGCTTTTATTTGATCTAGTGTCACTAATGAGTCAGAGCAGAATTTATTCATGCGTTTGGTTTACTGCGTCCTTAGTGATGATGAGCAACTCCCAGAAGTTTTCTTGAGATCTCGACTGATTGATCTCGTTTCCGAGTTGTAAAAACATAAGAATAAGCTTAACTTGCCTCATTAGAGCAGAAAACAGCAGCACGGCATGTTGTAGTGACCGGCCTTTTGTCCTGAAAATGAACCCGGAGAAAACAAGCTTCCTTATCTCAGATGATGAGATAAACAAGTCGAGATCTCGAGAAAACAACTAGAAGTTTCTCTTTTTCAAGTAAAAGCAAAGAATTATTATTTTCTTAATTATTAGTATTATTTTTTCTTTCTAAATCTTAATTTAATTATCTTTTTTCTCTTCGTACCTTTTTGGATTTATTTTATTTTATTTCATGTATGTATTCTTGTATGTTTAAAAGATTATATATAAAAATATGCCAGGATGAACAAATTATGTGATGAAATATGACAACTTGTAATGTAGTAAAACATCCTGCAATAAAGGATAAAAAAAAAAAAAAAAAAAGAAAAGAAAAAGTCTGCATGCATGTCCACTAAGGGCTTCTGTATTTAATCACCAGCTTCTTTATTCAATGGTTTGGGTGGTTATTATTTCTACCACAAATATAGTGTATAGAGTACATTTCTGTTGCGTTTGCTGTGATAACGACGTCTCATGGCCGGCTGTGGCTCAGTGAGAGAGTTGGTCATCTCTCAACTGAAAGGATAGGTTCAATCCCCAGTTCCTGCAGCCTCATGTCTGATGTGTCCTTGGGCAAGACACTTAACCCCAAGTTGCTCCTGCTGCGTCGGCGGCGGTGTGTGAATGTGTATTAAAAGATTAATACTGTGAATGTGAAGGTGTGACCTGCTAAATATTGGTGGAAAAATAATTTCTTTAAAGACATCACACGTTTCCAATTTGACATTATTCTAAGTAACTTTGTGTCGAATGTCTTTGCAGAAACACTCCCACCCGCAGTTGTTCCCAGGGGACATCGTGGAGTATCCCAGGAACAAATTCTTCTCTCATTTCGCCGTGTTCTATGGAGAGAGGGACGGCGTTCCCTACGTCGCTCACCTGACGTGTCGAGGTCTGTCATCAGTTCGGTTTCTGGACCTAAATGTTGTTAATTTAATGCAACATTTTCAAAAAAGTAAATCTCACTAATGTTTGTTTTTCAGATTCAGACTCCAAGCTGCCTCGCTTCGGTCGAGCTCTGAGGTCAGAGGTCAAACTGGATCCACTGGAGATGCTGGGGAAGAATTACAAGGTTTGATACGTGAACGTGTCATTAATGCATGTAGTTAAAAAAACAAACGTTTTGGTCTTTATGCATTTCCCTTCGACGTTGCTGCAGGTCAACAACATGCTGGACCCCACCTTCTCGGCCAGAGACTTCCACAGTGTGGTGAAGCCGGCCATCGAGGACATGATGGGACGGGAAGTCACGTTCGATATCCTGTTTCATAACAGCGAGCACCAGGCGACGCTCTTCAGATACGGAGTCAAGAAGTCCGAGCAGGTCGGTGGATGGAAGCTGGAATTCCTCTGAGACTTTAACTTAATTTTCAAACCATGTTATTGACATATTTTATTGTCTCCTTAATTATATATATATATATATATGTGTGTGTGTGTGTGTGTGTGTGTACAGATAGAGAGGATTTATGAACACATCATGCCGACCTGGAAGAAACTGTTCGACGAGAAGAAGCTGTGACGAGTGCCAAAGGTTCACTTCTCATGACGACCACCAGAGGGCGACAATGTCCCAATGATATCAGGAAGAAGGTTATGTACTGACAACATTTAAGTGTGTGAACATTTTAAGAAGTGAGCCCATGTTGGGGCCGATTAGATTCGCCACGTATGAACAAACATCAATAAACTTGTAAAGTGCATTGTGCTGCTTCAAGACACAAGTGGTTATTCACTTCATTATCTCTGTAGCTGTGATAGTATGACTTCTGTACTTCTGTGGTTTACTTTTCTATGACTTCAAACCCTAAACATCACTTTCATGCCTCCTTCATATTTTATGTCTTTATGTTTTTCTGCCTTCGTGCTGCATCTACATTTAAAATGTTGAAACCCAAAATCATTATATTACATATTGCTCCTTTAAAATATTTTTCATCATCTGTTTCTCTATTCTCCTCATTTAATACCTTACAATGTTGATTTACTTTGACTCAAATAAACGTTTGCTTGCCTTCACCTACAGGCCGTCAAATCCGTCTTTTAACTTTTGATTACCTGTAAGTTTAATGTTTCTGTCTTGATTATTCTGTCGGGTAACCGTGTCAGAAAGTTTGAATATTTGAGGTAACAACTCCTTTAGATGTCATGTTTTATTCCATCAACAGGCCAATACAGTGTAGATAATGAGTTCATGATGATATGCAACAAAGAAAAGTTTGACATTAGGCATTAATTGAAACATTATGTTCACTCTAAATTAATCAAAACTGCTTTGGATTAATCTTAAAATCACATTATTTCACTGAGTCATATTATTTGTACTATTATTCCATCTTTTTTAGGGTTCTTCCTCGCTCACAGCTTGAGATTCACGTTTGCACCTGCAGCCTTCTCGTGTGCTTCTTTCAGCCACTTAATCAGGATCCTGTTTGTCTCCGCGGCCTTTCCACCTGAGTCCAGTGTCCGCACTCCTCGATGTGTCCTCTGCTCAGGTTAGGGAACTACGATCACAAACACAGGGGTCAGATTCATGTCCCATAAAGGTCAATAGACTCAGGAGATGGAGATGGATCATCCCACTGCTTTTTATTAACTCACCGTGTCCTCCATCCCTTTGGAGAAGGCGGGCAGCAGAACCTGGTCTTTACCCGTTGTCAGCATCAGGGTAGGCATCAGCAGCTAACACAAACACAAGTATGAATCCCCCTTTCATGAATCAGACGCTCAGTTTAGTCTGCGGCTGAGAACATCAAACATTTATCTTTTGTTTGTGAACAGCTGGTTTGAATTTGAGTTGAACAACGGCTGATCATCCTGCAGGGGCTCCGGGGAAACATGCAAGTGACGCAGCGTTTAACCATTTTGAAACCTTCTTCCCGGGAGAGCTTCTTTTTTTTTTTTCAGGATATTTCGGGCTAATTTGTAATTTTCCAGTTAAAATAAGACCAGAAAATGCTCCAGAAGATTTCCTGTGAGCCACATCCACTACGTTTCAACTGGAAGACTGGCTGAATCTCGATTTGCCCCCCCCTGAGCCCTGAGCCTCCACGGACTGAGCAGGAACGTGCATCAAAGTCAGTGTGTGAGGGAGGACATGGAGATTTAGCCTCTGTTTCAGATGTACACATGCTCTGTTACAAACCTTTGTAGCAGGCCGAGAAAGCATCCACTTCTGGTTCCCCTCTATGTTACGATACCAATTCAGCGGCCCCCTGTGAAACAAAAACAAAGGACTTATTTACTCGATGCGACTTATTTCATGTTATTTAATATTCAAAATAAATCTCCTTCCTGATACTATTTTGGCTTTATCTAAAGTAACAGCAAAGACAAGCAAACACTTGACCTCACAGAAAGTCTCCTGCAGAGTCTTTCTTGTGCTATTATATGTCATAAATATTTAGCTAAATCCAAAACTTAAAAACCCTTTAATGAGCTATGGCGCTGGTAGCTCGTGGTTAATGCGTGTACCCCATGTTCAGAGGATGTAGTCTTCCTCGTGGTCGGCCCAGGTTCAAATTCGACCTGTGGCTCCTTCCCCACTCTCTGACTCTATCTGCTGTCCTGTCTCTGAATAAAATAATAAAACGCATCTTTAAAAAAAAAAAAAGATAAAAAGTGTTCCGACCTGAAGCCGTGCTCTTTGTACCGGCTGACGTAGTACTGCAGGTCGGCCTCCGTCAGCATGGAGCTCCGGGGGATCTGCTCGGGCAGACCCACAAACAGACCGCCTACGACACACGGGACAGTCAGAATGTGACTTCCTCTTTGTTATCTGTCAAGAATATTCTGTGTGCGACCTCACCTCGAGCACAGACTCCTTCAGTGCTGATGTTCTGAGCCTTCCCCTGACAGAAGACACAACATTGATTTATGATCTGCACACCAGATAGTGAGTGTTTCTTTTGTGTATGTGTGTGTGTGTGTGTGTGTGTGTGTGTCCTCACAACTTCAGCACTGCTCATAAACAAAATCTTGAACGTCCTCTCCAAGTCTTTCTCCAGCTCGGCCTCTGCAAGACCCTGAAAAACACAGCAGCACAAGCACACAGTGAGAGCTCTGCAGGTTGTCTCTTTTAGTCATTTTGTGTTTCTTTGGGATCAGCTTTGTGTCTTCTATTCTTCTTTTGTGTCTTTAAGGTCATTGTTTGTGACTCATTTTTTGGGTTTCTGTCTCCGGTTGTTTTGTGTCCCCTTTGGTTCGCTGCGTCTCACTTTGAGTGTGTGTCTCTTTGTGATCTTGTTGAGTCGTTTGTGATGGAGTTTTATCTCCTCTGGGCTGTTTTGAGCTTCGATTGATTGATTTGTGCCTTAATGTGGG